AAAAAAAAAAAAAAAAGAAAAGAAAGAAATGAAATGTTGGAACCCAGACTAGCTTATCCTTAATAAGTAGAAAATACAGAGGCAGTCCGTGCGTGAATAGACTTCTGTGATCTTAACCCCGGGGCATGGTGGGCACTGTCCCTCAAAGACTTTGTGCCCTCACTACAGCACAAGGAAAGGGGCCACATAAACATAAATCAGCCAGCATCTACAAGAACAAAGTTCACCCCGCAGCCAGCCATGAGAACGAAGCATGCTAATAAACGGCCAGGCAGATAAGAAACAAGGATCCTCTAAACCAGGTTTGTATCGTGGCCGAATTCCCCTCTGCTTCACTGGCCCAGAACAAGAGTAAACAGTAAAACCCACACAGTCTCCACACAACTGGCCAATGCAATGGGTTTACCCCACCGATCCGCTTGGAAGTGAGTTCGGTTGTACCCAGAATTGGGTACAGAGTTCTGTGTGCGCTTTTTCTGGCCAGGGGAACGGGAACAGCTGCCTTGAAATTGAGGCAAAGAAAGTATTCAATCATGAGTGACCACCCTGGGGCGCCTGGGTGGCTCAGTGGGTTGGGCTTCTGCCTTCAGCTCGGGTCATGATCTCAGGGTCCTGGGATCGGGCCCCGCATCGGGTTCTCTGCTTGGTGGGGAGCCTGCTTCCCCCTCTCTCTCTGCCTGCCTCTCTGCCTACTTGTGATCTCTCTTTCTGTCCAGTAAACAAATAAAATCTTAAAAAAACAAAAAAATGAGTGACCACCCTGTTTCTCTACAGGTGGTGACGTTTGATGCAGGGGGAGTCAGTGGTCACCGCAATCATGTTGCTCTGTATGCAGCTGTGAGGTATGACTCTGCATGTTGCAGGTGGGGGGGGGGGGCTGTTCCTTTGCTCCAGGCGGGTGGCTTCTAAAGGGCTTCCCCCGCTCACCATCTGAGCCCTCAGGGAACTGGCCACTGAGGTACAGAGAGCCATTGTTGACCACATTGCTCACCACAGCTCACCACGCCGTGTGTGTGAGAAATCCCTCCTAAGTCATCTTATCATTGTTTTGCCTCCTCAACTCGTGAGGGTTTTTTCCACACGGAAAAATGGGGTGACATTTTATTTCTGTCTTTGCTTTGGCCACAGAGAGGTTTCAGGCCAAACTTGCAACCCCATGTAGCACATGTGGGAGATTTGAGGGAGTGAGTTCTATAAATCAGTGTGCCTTGTGGCTTCATCTTCTTTTTCCTCCTTTTTTAAAAAAGATTTTATTTATTTCTTTGTCAGAGAGAGAAAGAGAGAGCGAGAGTGAGCACAAGTAGGGGGAGGGGCAGAATGAGGGAGAAGCAGGCTCCCCAGTGAGCGAGGAGCCCAATGCAGGACTTGATCCCAGGACCCTGGGATCATGACCTGAGCTGAAGGCAGATGCTTAACCAACTGAGCCACCCAGGCATCCCTTTCCTCCTTTCATTCTAATTTCTTTTGTACCTTATTTTAAAAAGATTTTATTTATTTATTTGACAGACAGCGAGAGAGGGAACACAAGCAGGGGGAGTGGGAGACACTGAGCAGGGAGCCGGATGCGGGGCTCAATCCCAGGACCCTGGGATCATGACCCGAGCTGAAGGCAGACGCTTAATGACTAAGCCACCCAGGCGCCCCTCTTTTGTACATTTTGTACACTGTATCAAATCTTTCTTTGGAAAAGGAAGATATACATATGTAATAGGAAAACTTTTGTTCTTCATAGCCACCCTATTTTACCGATAGGCATCTGTATTTTACTGTTAAAAAACAAACCAAAAAAATGCACCTCAGAGATATTGAGGGACTTATTCAGGGTCATATAAACATAAACTGTGTTTCCCAGCCTCTAGAGAAGTACTTCTCCCTGGCGCCATGAGTGGGGGAGTGGTGGACCTGGCCTAGGGGAAGGGAAGGGACAACTTGAAGTAAAGGACTTACTTTAGAACTTTCTTCTAAACATGCCCAACATTCTCAGACCAGACCAGTGAAATATGTAAAGTTGGAAATGATTCCCCTATCGTTAAGTCCAACCACCTCATTTAACTGAGGAAGTGAAGTGGTTTTCCCAGCACTGCCAGGCTGAACAATGGCAGAAGTAGTAGAACTGAAATCCATTTCATATGAGTATGTTGTCTGTGTGTTGGTGGTGGAGTTGGACCACTTATCCCATCTTTTCTCCATTTCTTCGCTTCCAAACAAAAGCAGGCAAGGGATCTGGAGTTCATTGCTGTTGGATTGCCCACTGCTGTTGGGAGTGTAGAATGGCCTTCACTGTGAGAAGGTGGGAGCAGGGGAGGTTGAAAAGGAGAAAGAACTATTAGAGAAGAAATATCAATTAATATTTTTATTTATTTATTTATTTATTTTTAAAATTTTATTTATTTATTTGACAGACAGAGATCACAAGTAGGCAGAGAGGCAGGCAAAGAGAGAGAGGAAGGGAAGCAGGCTCCCTGCTCAGTAGAGGGAATCAATGCGGGGCTCAATGGGATCATGACCTGAGCCAAAGGCAGAGGCTTTAACCCACTGAGCCACCCAGGTGCCCCTCAATTAATATTTTAAAATAGCCTCCTGTCATACTCAAATTCAATTTCAAAAGAGAGAAACTTTGAAAAGTCCATCATAGTTACCTTCTTTTCTTATGGGCAAAGCTTGGACCAAGGCACTTCATAACTATTAGTCGTCCCCCAGATTGGCTAATCTTGGGGATGGTGCCCACACTTGTCCTTTCAGCTATAGCCAGAGGTATGGAATCCCAGAAACCTATATGGTGACTGATGCAAAAAAACTACCTAAAAACCTGTGGGTGGGGGGGCACCTGGGTGGCTCAGTGGATTAAGCCTCTGCCTTCGGCTCAGGTCATGATCTCAGGGTCCTGGGATTGAGCCCCAAATCGGGCTCTCTGCTCAGCAGGGATCCTGCTTCCCCCTCTCTCTGCTTGCCTCTCTGCCTACTTGTGATCTCTGTCTGTCAAATAAATAAATAAAATCTTAAAAATTAAAAAAAAAACCCATGGGGGGATCATAGGGTGTGGCAGACCTTACCACTGTTGGGGAGGAAGAAATTTTCTTCTGTCCAAGATTCTTCTAGCTGGACTAAGAATTAAATTTCCACGAGAAATTATTAACACGAGAAAATCAAATTTAATTTTGTCCCACAAAATCCATGCAAACATGAATCCAGACAAACATGAAATTCCAGAGACTGTCAGGCAACATGAGACTTATATGTCATCTTGAGCTCAGGAGCAGAATGGGAGTCTGGGGTACAAGGAGAGGAAGACCATTAGCAGGAAGATTGAAATGTTTGGAAAACAAAGGTGGCCCTTTTATCCCGATAAGTTTCTTAGATAAAAAGGAATCTCTATGACTAGTTCTCTTCCTGGTACAGGCCCATTTCCAGTGTAAGTTCAGGTGGCTGGCGGGCAGGTGCAAAGTGGTTTTCCTGAATTTGATGGGTTTTGATTGCTTTTAACTCAAGGTAACATACATGCCATTGTAGCCCATACTGGAGAGGCCTGCCCTTGACCCCTGTACTCTGAAGACTCTTCCTGTTAACTGCAAAGGAATTCTTACTCCCTCTCACTCCTGTTCTTTCCTCCTCCAGGACCCTCCACTCAGAAGGGAAGTTACCTGAAGGTAAGTGGTCTGTTTTGCCAAAGTCTGCTAATTACTATCCCTCTAAGAAACTTATTGAGTGAAAATTGTAAATATATGGAGAATTGCCCTAGGTCAAGCCAAGGGGCTGGGGAGGCTGGGTCACACTCCTCTTGACCTAGCTCACTGTGTCTGTCCATGTGGGTCCTCAGTCCTTAAAACCAGGTTGTCTCCATTGGGAAGTCCCCTGCCAGCCAGGCAGCCTCTGGGTGTGAGGGGAGGCCAGAGGTGTTAGGAACACAAAACCAATAGGAGATACATGTAGAAAAGAGACTTATTATAAAACTTGACTCATCCAAGTACAGAAGCTGAGAAGTCTCACAGTCTGCCTTCTGCAAACTGGGGCCCCAGGAAAGCTGGTGGTGTCAGTCAGTCTGGGTCCAAAGGCCTGAGAAGTAGGAGAGCCAGTGGTGTAAATCCCGGTCCAAGGGCAGGAGATGACCAGTGTCTCAGCTCAAGAGTTAAGCAGAAAAGAACAAATTCTCCCTTCTTCTATCTATTCTTCTATTCAGGCCCTCAGTGAATGGGACCATGCCCACCCTCACTGGGGGGAAGGCTATCTGCTTTCCTGAGTCCACTGATTTAAATGTTAGTCTCATCCACAAATACCTTCCCAGGCACACCCAGAAGTAATCAGCCAAATATCTGGGTAGCCTGTGACCCAGTTGAGTTGACACATGAAATTAACCATGACCCCAGGCCTTGCCCGCTCATCTGTCTAGCTTTCTTCCCAGGTGGGTCTTTTCTCACCTCCAATGTTCTTTCAGTCTGTCCATCTAAACTCCCATCCCAGCCCCCATCACTTAGCCAGGGTGCAAACAGCTGATGAGTGTTTGAGGGGTTCACCTACTTGAAAGGTGTTTGACCCCACTTGGCCATTTACTGTGTGACACTGAGGCTTAACCTCTCTAGGCCAGTTTCTGGTCTGTCGGTGGGAATAGGAGACATCCCTCAGGAGCGACAAGAAGATGACGCAAGTGAGAACACAGTCAGGTATGCTCTTTCTGAGTGGGCCAATACCAGCTCCGTGAGACAGGCTTCCACATTGTCAACACCACTTTACAGATGAGAAAACTGAGTCTCAGAGAGCAGAAGGCACTTTCCCAAGTCTGTCAGGTCTTGAGCGTCAGAGCAGGAGCTAGGTCTCTTGCCTCCCAATCCCAAAATTCTGGTCTTTATCGCCTTTCCCTTGGCCTTAAAGTAGCCAGTTTCCAACCTCTAGCAACCACCTTAATCTTGCTAGGGCTTGAGTAGGGGGCTGCCGGCCAGATGTTCTGTGGTCCTTTCACTCTTCCTGTCTGTGAGAATGATGGGCAAAGAGCACCTTTGGTGCTACCGAGATATCTGGCTACTCTGTGGCCATGGTTTTGCCCTGCCCTGAGCCCCAGAGGAGGAGTAGGGTGCTCAGGTGAAATCTGCCTGGAAGCAACAAGACTCTTCACTTCTCCCCTCTCCGCCTCCCCCAACCAGGGTGCTCGGTGCTCACGCTTCAGTCAGTGAATGTGTTGCGCAAGTACATCTCCCTTCTGGACCTGCCCTTTTCTCTGCTTCATACCCGGGATGTCCTCTTCGTGCTCACCAGCAAAGAAGTGGCACAGGCCAAGGTGAGGATTGTGAATTCCCTGACACCCTCCCTCCAGATCTCTGTCCCAGACCTCCTGGGCCCCCACGACCCCTAAGCGAAGACCTTCCGTAGTGGCTTAGCATCTGAGTGTCAGGACTATCCAGCTAGACCTTGGCAGTCATAGCTTCTCAAGGACTTTTGCCCTTTTTTCTGATCATAAACGTAATACATGATTTTTAAAAGTAAAAGTACAATGCTCGTTGTAGAACATCTAGAAATACTTTATAAAAAGCATCAAGAAGAAAATAAAGATAATCAATAAAAATTACCCTGAATGCTACCACTCAGAGAAAATCATTGCTAACATATATATTTTTTTTAATGGGATTACACAGTGCCTACTATTTAAAACCTGTCCTAACAACATTATGACGATTTTCTTCTATGTCATTATACATTAGAATTGTTATGGGTGCCTGCATTCCACTGTAAGGATGTACAGAGAGGACCTCAGACCTGCCAGGAGCCTCTGTAAAGAGCCAATAGGATAGACCACCAGAGGCTTATTTACCTGCTGAGGAAATGTCAGGCCCAGCAAAGGCCTCATAGTGAAAACTCTTAGCTGTCCAAGGGGCGGGTGATTCTGAAAACCACGGAGTTAGGGAGTTAAGGAGAATTGATCCAATCTGCCTCCAGGTGTGACTAGAGTGTGACTATATATTATATATAATGTATTATATATATATATTGCATTATATATTATATATATAATATATAATTATATATTGTATATATACAATTTATATATATACAATTTTATATATTTTTATATTTTATATATTTATATATAATTATATATATATACAATATATTAAATACATACATACAAAATATACATTTTATATGTATATGGAATTATATATATACAATATATACATATAATACATTATATATATAATATAGTGTGACTATATATTATAGATAATATTTATATAATATATGTAATTATAGTTAAAGTTTTATTATTATTATTATTTTGCTTAGCTTTATTTTCTGAACTGTCTGTGATACACATTTATACCTACTACGAGGCACTTTGCTAGATACTGAGAATGCAACACTGACCAGAAACATGAATTCTCCTTTGTTTTATTTGATAGTTCCTTACTTTCTGTTCTTTATTTATGTCCTTCTACTTTATTCAGATTTTACACTGTTTTTTCTTTTTTTTAATATCTTGGACTGAAAAGGTTAGCTTTTTTCCCCATTTTCAATCTTTTTTTAAAAATACACTTTAATACTATTAATTTCCCTTGAAGTATTTCTTTAGCTGCACCCAACAAGTATTGATACACACTCTACTGTCACTCAGTTATAAGTAACTTACAGTTTCCATTTTGAGTTCCTCTTTAATACATGAGGCTTTTAAGGGTGTATTTTCGAGTTTACAAATGCGTGCGTGCGTGTGTGTGTGTGTACCATCAATCCTCATTATCCACAGGTTCCATCTTTGCAAATGCGCCTACGTGCTAAAATTTACTCGTAACCCCAAAATTAATATGGGGCTTTTGTGGTCATTTGTGGACATGCGTATCTGCAGGGCAGTGAGGTTTTAAGTTGTCACCAATGCACACACCCAGGTTCCCCGCTGAGGTTGAACAAGGTGACCCTCTGCTTTCTTGTTTCAGCTCTGCAAACAAGTATCCTCTCTTCAGTATTTTTGGTGACACATTGTTCTCATTTTTGTGCTTTTTGTTGGTGATTTTACTGTTTTAAATGTCTTCTGAGTAAGCCATTCAAGTGCTGTCTAATGATTCTAAGGGCGGAAAAGCTGTGATACCTCTTATAGAGAAAGGAGGTGAGTTAGATAAGGTTCATTCATGCATGAGTTACAGCCCTATTGGCTGTGAATTCGGTGAATGAATTGATAACATAATATTAAAAAGGCATCTTTAAACAGAAACCCACATAAAACAAGGTCATGTACTGATCAGTTGATGAAAATATTGAGACCAGAGGCTCTCAGGAACCAAAACCATTATTTCCCCTAGGAACAAGATACGGTATTGACTAATTCAAGTGTTTGCAGTAACTTTATAGAAGGTAGCTACCAGAACACGAATTATCCTGTAGCCTTTTTATTGTTGATTTAGAATTGAATTGCTTCCTGGTCACTACATGTGGCTTGTGTCATACTGGTTTTTTAAAAACTTATTGAGAATTCCTTAGTGAATTAGCTACTTTATGATCAGTTTTTGTAAATGTTAACGTGTTATCTAAAAAGAATGTGTGTGCTCTGTGGTTTTTGTTTGAGATGCTAGATATAACCACCAGAGCTTAGTACATGTATCAGTCACAACTTGTGTATTCTAACCGCTTTTTAATTTTTTTAAAAACTATCTTTTTAAGATTTTATTTATTTAATAGAGAAAGAGACTGAGAGAGAGCCTGAGCAGTGGGAGGGGCAGAGGGAGAAGCAGACTCCCCACTGTGCAGGGAGCCTGCTTCCCTTCCTCTCTCTCTGCCTGCCTCTCTGCCTACTTGTGATCTCTGTCTGTCAAATAAATAAATAAAATCTTAAAAAAAAAAAAAAAGAAAAAAAAGGGAACTAATATTTAGCAGATGAATTGATTGTAGTACTGGATAACCTGCAAAATCATATCTTTGAAGGAAATGTAGTGGAAATGCTCCAAAAAGGAGGGGAGGTATAGAAAAAAATTTGATGTTTTATATTCCCTTGGAAAAGTAATAGAAAAACAGTTTGTAAGAAAACAAATGGACAGTAAGTGCCTATTGTATTGAATGGGTACTGAAAAGCCGTTGAAACATTAGGGAACCCAAAAATTAGACCACTGTGGGCAGGATGATTTGGGAGACTCATGTGACTTGGTAGCTGCTAAAAACAGACAAGTCAAGTGTGTCTGGGCTACAAAGTTCATCCCTTCTCTCAATGTTTTTTTTTTTTTTTAAAGATTTTATTTATTTATTTGACAGACAGAGATCACAAGTAGGCAGAGAGGCAGGCAGAGAGAGGGGGAAAGCAGGCTCCCTGCTGAGCAGAGAGCCCGATGTGGGGCTTGATCCCAGGACCCTAAGACCATGACCTGAGCTGAAGGCAGAGGCTTAACCCACTAAGCCACCCAGGCACCCCTCTCTCAATGTTTTTCTAAAATAAACATTTTGGGGACACCTGGGTGGTTTGGTTGGTTGGGCATCTGCCTTCGGCTTGGGTGGTGATCCCGGGGTCCTGGGATCAAGTCCCACTTCGGGCTCCCTGCTCAGTGGGGAGTCTGCTTCTCCCTCTCCCTCTGCCACTTGCCGTGCTTGTGTTCTCTCTCTGACAAATAAATAAAATCATAAAAAAAATAAAAATAAAATGAGTTCTTTACATAAAGGTCTTCAATGATAATAGCTCAGAGAGGCAGTTGACTTTTGGTACTTAGAGAAAAGCAGGCAGGAAATATTTATATATGTTATATCTAGTTTCATATATATATTTATATACATATATAAATATATATTATATATAATATAATAAATATATATAAATATATATGCATTTCATATATATTTATATATGTTATATCTAGTTTCATCAGTCGCTATGATCTATGGTTTAAAACTGAACTACTCTAGGTCTAAATAACAAGATAATACACATTTTGGCAAGGAGAACCCCACACCCATGGGTACACTTTGGCGTGAATGTGTCTCTGTGCCTTCTAGTTTCTTCTCTTCCTCTTTCTTCCAGCTTCCGTAATTCAGAGGAGCGTGAGCACAATAATGTAGCTGACTTCCCATAAAACCTCCTCGTACATTTGATCTATACGATGTAGGGGAGCAAAGAAATTAAGAATGTGGGCTTCAGGGTCATTCACGTGGCTCTGGCTTCAGATGCCAGCCGTGTTGTCTAAGCTGAGGTGATGCATGGAGACCGCCCGCACGCTGTGGCCGCCATTACTATCCTGTGAATTTATCACTGGGTTGTCAGTAGGAGGTGGGACAGGGGAGGCAGCCATGGGAGGCCCATCCAGAGAGCTTCGCTAGTTCCAGGGAGAAGCCAGAGTAGGCTACAGCACGAGCTGAGCTCGTGGGAAGAAGCAGTTCAGGTGAGGAAAGAGGGAGTGAAACAGTTCCATGACCAGGCCTCTCTGCTTCTCCTAGAGAGCCATGTCCTGCCACCACAGCCAGCTGCTCTGGTTCCGCCGCCTCTACGTGCTCTTCTCCAGGTACATGAGAATCAACTCCCTGCACTTCCTCTGAAGCCTGGAGGGGTCTTCAGGCTAAGGAACACAGGGAGAAGCAAAGACCAGAACGCCTGGGCCCAGGCCTTGAGCTGGCGGATCAGCCTGAACTGAAGGAGAACCCCATGGCGGGAGCCTTCCAGAGCTCTGCGGGTCCGCGCTGAGAAGCTCTAACTCGAGGGGGGCCGTGTAGGCCAATGAGTGGTCCCAACATCAGCTTCTTCCTCTGAGGAGAAAGCCCCACAGCAGCCCAAACCAAACCAACCCCAGGATACCAGTAGCTACCCTGACAGCTTCTCAAGTTCTTCTGGAAAACACGCTACATAATGGCACCATGTCAGTCAGGCATCTACCACAGAGCCTGCTGTGATGATAAATGCTCCGAAAAGTGCTCCCAGATCACTTCTCAGAGGCCATGAGGCAGAATTTTTATGTTGTTTCCAAAACAGCCTCACCAAGCACACACACGAGCAGCCCCTATAGAGAGTGAGTTCAGCCATTATTACTTTGATTCACATCATGGCCTCTGTATCAAGTTTGAGTCCCGAGGAAGCTTCTCTACTTAACCTCACAGTCGTTAAACCGACTGGGGCTCCAGAAGGCCAGAGGCCGACCACGACGCCCACCATTTCCTGCTCAGACTATTACGATGTGGACCTGCCCGGAAGGAGCGTCCAGTCAAATATCTCAGCTCCCTGTCTTTTGAGGGAAGGAGGAAACAGGAAGACAAATCAGGAACTCTTGTGTGTTGTTGGGTTTTTTTTTAACCCTCAACCAAAACTAAACAAAACCAAAATGCTGATGTCGTAAAATTGTGCTACAGACAAAAGCAGTCTGAGGGGTCTGGCTTGGAAACTACTCCCACGGCCCAGCCAACGGTCCAGGGAAGTGGCCCGAGGCTGGGAAGCTTAGGGGTCAAGGGCACAGGCTCCGCATACTGCTGTGAGGCCAGATTTAGCAACAGCGTAATCACAGACAAGGTGTTTAACCTTTGTCTGACTCAGTTGTCTCGTGTGCAAAAGGGAGCGCGGTCACGGTACCAACCTCAGAGGAGACTAAGCCTGGTGGGCGCCCAGGAAAGGGTCTGGCGCGCAGTCAGGGCCCAGGAAAGGTGAGTCACTGGTGTTCGGAGATGCACAAGCAGCCCTAACGCAGAGGGACTCGCAGGAGTTGAAGTCCTGACACAAAAAGGACCTTGGTGCACATTGTCCAGGGGTATCCTTTCTGGCTCTTGGCGGAAAGCCTGCACTGCTGTCTCCATAGCAACAGGTTACAGACCTGCTCTCTTGATGCCTCCTATGGGCCAAATGGTACTAAGCCAGAGTATAGGCCCTAAAACAGGAGTCTGAAATGCAAATCTGGTTATGTTATCTGTCTACTTAAAATCTGTCAGTGGCTCCTAATAGCCTCCTTAGAAACTGTGAGAAAAAATCAGCCACTGATGCTAGATGGTGGGGGGGTGGGGGCAGGGGACAAGCTGCCTCCTGTCCTACTTCTGATAAGACAGGCCCTGGGCCAGCCTCTCCAGACTGCAAGTCTCAGTATGTATTAAGAGCTTATAAAATACCCAAACCCTGGGGTTCCTGGTGGCTCAGTGGGTTAAGCCTCCGCCTTCAGCTCAGGTCATGATCTCAGGGTCCTGGGATCAAGTCCTGCATCAGGGAGCCTACTTCCCCCTCTCTCTCTGCCTGTCTCTTTGCCTACTTGTGATCTCTGTCTGTCAAATAAATAAATAAAATTAAAAAAAAATACCCAAACCCTGTGACCTAAGGAAATACTTAAAAAATTAAAATTATATATACAGACATCATCACAGTATTATTTATAATACAATTTGAAAAATCCAGTGATGCAATCATATTTAGTAAGAAAGAGGAGTGTTTATGATAAATTTTTGAAAGCAGGTTAGGAATGGTACAATCTCATTTTAGTTAAACATACTTGCACAAATATGTGTGTATGTATACACCCACATAAAAGTGTATATATATATAGAAAGAGAGATAGATATATATATGCAAAAGGTAATAACTGGGGTGCCTGGCTGGCTCGGTTGGTAGAGCATGGGACTCTTGATCTTGGGGTGTCTTGAGTTCAAGCCCCATGTTGGATGTAGAGCTTGTTTTTTTTTAAAGAAAGGTAATTGCTAATTAGTAAGGTCATCTTTCTAAAATGAACATTTATAATTTTAAAGGATTTTTATTGTTGTTCATTAATAGTTTTGATGTGATTATATACTTTTTATATAATGTAAAGCTAAAAAAAATATGTATAGCCAGGGGCGTCGGGGTGGCTCAGTCAGTTAAACATCTGACTTCAGCTCAGGTCATGATCTCAGGGTCTTGGGATCAAGTCCCACATGGAGTCCCACATCAGGCTTCCCCTGCTCTGGGCTCCCCCTGCTCTGCAGGGAGCCTGCTTCTCCCTCTCCCTCTGCCACTCCCCCTGCTTGTGCTCTCTCTGTCAAATAAATAAAATCTTAAAAAAAAAAAAAGGAAATGCAACCCTTTGTGGGGAAAAATACGTATATGTCTACACATCCAATTGAGTGTAAATAAATGGGATATTTCTGGTAACAGTGCTTCTCTGAAAAAGGAAATTGAGTGGAAGGAGGGGAAAGGAGACCTTTTTTTTGTTCCTTTTGAATTTTATACCATGCATGTATATTCTCTATTCAAAAATACTCTAAAATATTAGAGGTTAGAAAGTTCTGTAGAATCATCAACAGTCACTGCTTCTGAGTGGTGGGACTAGAGTTATTTTTGGCTTTTGTTTTACTGCCCAGGCCGGGTATTTCTTTGTAAATAAATTGAGGAAAAGTTTAGGTGGAAATGAAAACAAACTAACATCTTTATTTCCTGGTGCCTGGGGCTTGATTCTGGTCCCCGTTGCTGGAGTGCAAGCTCCCCCTCCCTGGCACCCTCCATCCCAACACCCTCCCCTTGGGGTTCCCAATGGGAACAGAGCTAGGTTCTCTGTGGTGCCTGGAGAGAGCACTGGACAGCTGCACAGGAGGGAAGGATGCCCCTCAAAGCCACCCTGGAGTAGGATCTGTGCTCAGGTTAGGGGAAGGTGCTCTCCGTGGGCAGCGTAGCCCTGGAGACACCTGGTAAGTATGCCTCTGTGCCAGTTGTCAGAAAGCAGCCCTTCCCCCAGGCAGACATGGGCCCTCACCAGAGCACAACTTGGTGAGAGCAGCAGGGAGTACCAGCTCCGCCCCCAAGCCGCGTACTTGTATAGTTAACAACCTGCAAAACTGTACAACAGCCCTGAAGCCTAGAGCGAAGATCAGATGTGGTTTCTTCAAGGAGCCAGACAAGAAAAGAAGGAAGGAAGCAGAGGGGAGAGGGGGAGGCAGACGAGGAGGGAACGAAGGGGCCAACCACACACACACACACACACACACACACACACACACACTCTTGACTAAAAATTCACCAGGAAGCAGGCTGTCTCTACTTGCCCAGAGTCCTGGGAGGTGACTGTGGTTCAGAGAGGCCTGGTGGTTTGCCAGTTCTCAGCCCAGGGCGAGAAGAGCAGAAATCGCCTGGCCTCCCACCACTCCTTGCTTTGCCGAGGTTCAAGACCAAAGGTGAGTAGACCCAGTCCCCGAGGGCAACTCTCTTCCAAAGGGGCTCCCAGGGAAAGGAAGTCCCACCTGCCGTGGGCAGCTCTCTCCGAAGGAACAGTTAATGGGAGACTTCATCAAAAACGAGTGGGCGCCTGGGTGGCTCAGTGGGTTAAGCCTCTGCCTTGGGCTCAGGTCATGATCCCGGGGTCCTGGGATCGAGCTCCGCATCGGGCTCTCTGCTTAGCAGGGAGCCTGCTTCCTCCTCTCTCTCTCTGCCTGCCTCTCTGCCTACTTGGTGATCTCTGTCTGTCAAATTAATAAATTAAAAAAATCTTAAAAAAAAAAAAACAATAACAACAATGAACGCTCAGGTCCTGGTCTAGACAAAAAAGAATGTTTCTCAGGAGAGGCCAAATCAGAATCTGGACTATCAAGTAGAAGACATATCTCAGAACCCAGAGGGCATTTCGCTTGGAAATGGAAATCGTGATGGAAAAAGGACTTGAAAAATACATCAAAGGAAAAAAAAAAAAAAAAGTCCAGGAGACCTAACATGTGAATAATGGGAGTTCCAGAAGCAGAAATAGTTACAGATGAGGGGCGCCTGGGTGGCTCAGTGGGTTAAGCCGCTGCCTTCGGCTCAGGTCATGATCTCAGGGTCCTGGGATCGAGCCCCGCATCGGGCTCTCTGCTCAGCAGGGAGCCTGCTTCCTCCTCTCTCTCTACCTGCCTCTCTGCCTGCTTGTGATCTCTGTCAAATAAATAAATAAAATCTTTAAAAAAAAAAAAAAAAGAAATAGTTACAGATGAGGGATAATACAGGGGAATTTACATCATCTGAAAGAGACTTGAGTCAGTGCATCAGAAGGGCGCACCATATTCTAGCCCGCTGTGATTTTTTAAAAAAGATACACAGGGGGGGCGCCTGGGTGGCTCAGTCTGTTGAACTTGGGGTCCTGGGCTGGATTCCCTGCCAGGCTCCCTGCTCAGCGGGGGTGGGGGGGGGTCTGCTTCGCCCTCTGCCCCTCCCCCACCCCCGCTGGTGCTCTCGCTCTTCTGTCAAACAAGTAAAATCTTTAAACAATAATAAAATAAAAAGATGCACACGTGTGCTGCAAAATCCTACATTTCAAGTGGGGAGAGGATAAAAATATTGCAAAGATCTCTGGGTCCAAGGGGACGCTCTGGAAGAGAAGCATCTTGAAGACATAGACAAGTCCGGGGCTCCTGCGGGACAGCAAAGGTCACCACCTGCAGCCCTGAACAGTGTAGAATCCCAATTAAGGAAAGAGAAAAGAGGAAATGAAGAGAAACTTACAAGCTTACAAGCCTGCAAAACTTTTTAAAAAAAGGAAGACAGGAAACAAAGCATAAAATGTAACAAATACAATGAATCAAATCAGGTATCAGCTACTTCAAAAAAAAAATTTTTTTTTTGAATGGGCTAATTTCCCTACCAAAACGGAATTAGAAAACAAAATCTAGCAGCTAGAAGTGACAAAGAGGCTAAAAATAAAAGGTGAGTCACCTACCAAATACCAGGCAAAGGCACACAAAAACAGTGACAACACACAGCCAAGCATCTAAAAGCCTTAAACCTTGAACAATGG